AATAAGTTTAGTTAAGAAAATTAATAACAAGCTCATGCGACGGTTTACGTGGTTTAGAGATTATGATGACATAACATCCATGTTTGTTTGACATATTAAGTCTGAAACGCATTTAACATATTTATTATTAAATTCGCTAGTTTTTGTGGTCCGCTTGATCAATTAATATCTTTCAAGTAATTAAGGATTTTAGTTGAGATAAAAAAAGTCAGTGTCGAGGTCACGATAGCTCAAGTGGTATAGCAGCGGCGTATCTAGCCGAAGATCATGGGTCCGAATCCCGCTCGTGACACTGAATTTTTTATCTCAACTAAAAACCTTAATTAATTGAAACATATTTATTGTATTCACTAATTTCGTGATCCGCTTGGCCAATTAATATATTATAATTAATTAAGGTTTTTAGTTGAGATAAAAAATTCAGTGTCACGAACTGGATTCGAACCCATTGATTCCCCCTGAATTTTCAAAGAATTTTTTTGAATGGCAAAAAGGAGGGAAAATTCAAAAGTGTAGTTAAGATGGGAAGTTAGTGTCCGAGTGGATCGAAGTCACGATAGCTCAAGTGGTAAAGCAACGGCGTATTTAGCCGAGGGTCGTGGTTTCGAATCCTGCTCGTGCCATTGACTTTTTTAACTCAACTTAAAACTTTAATTAATTATAAAATATTTATTATGTTCATATATTTGCGATAAACAACTGTTTTCCAATTCGACAAATTAATTAATGAAACTACCCCGGAAGTCTTTGGTACGGTTTTTATCATATAATCCGCACATTTTCACTGTTTTTGAACAATGTTTCAGAACATCGACATATTGAGAAAAACAGAAAAACTGCTACTATCATTTCAATGGATGTTTCAAATTAAACCTCAAAAGTACTCAATATACTTTATTACAGAAACCCTGACCCTAGGGTTTTCTTTGTTGTTTCATTGACATAATTGTGAAATACTTGCAATCCATTTGGTTAGAATTTCATGAAAACTGACTCATGGTGAAAACTGGGCACATGGCGCCATCGACCTAGCATGACAATTAGGAAAACCCCTTTCTTGGCGGAGTTCGGGATGAACATTTTTATCGATCATAAATAAAACTATTGGTACGAATTAATTAATAGGTGAACTTGTCAATTATTTATTGTTAGATACAGAATTTATTGATAGTTTCAAAGTAGGAAGTTATCAGTGTTTAAAAACCAGATAAAATGAGCGGTATATTCGGTGTGCATATAAATATTCTTTTTAAATAAGGTTGAAGGGAGTACATTTTTCAAAATACACGAACTTTTGATTTGAAAACTTGCTATTGGGTTTGGCGTATAGTTTGAACTTTTGTTATATAAATTTTCCCCGTGCTCTGGAATTGTGCACCGTTGTCGCCGTTTCTTTCCAAAGGTGAATTTCAATGAGGACGAGCCCTTTTTAACCATTCAGGGCTCGTGATGAATCCAAACGGAAAATTTGCAGGGAGGTAAGTCGAATCTCTGCCCACTTAATCGGTAATTTAAAATCCCTGTAGCCGGCGCTAAATATCTCGGGGGGTGAATGCGATTTATCAAACAGACAATTAATTATAAAAGAGGGATGGTTAGGGATGGTCCATCCCTAAAAGAGGGAAAACCGCTTTCGAATAGATAAATCAGAAGTCCAGGTTTTTTTCTGGTGATCGGAAGTTGATTCTACCTCATTTTAACCTTTGAAATGAAATTATGAAATATCACTTCCAAAATGAATGCAATCTTTATTTAAAAGCTTGGAAAAAATATATTTTAAATACATTATATTTAGTGGTCTATTGACCAAATTACCTGTTTCAATTAATTAATCTTTTTTTGTAAGGTTTTGGTTGAAATGAAAAGCTAGTGTCACGAGCGGGATTAATTATCAAAAGACCACTAAATATAATGGATTTAATAAGTAAAACGAAGTATAGCTTCACTAACAGCTCCACCTGGTCACTTCATGTGTCGCCGAGAATCGAATCCTGATTACACGACATTTGAAAAATGGCAAAAAAGGGGAAAAATTCGAAATGTCGTAGGTTGAGACGGGGAGTTGGTGTCCGAGAGGATCGAAGTCACGATAGCTCAAGTGGTCAGAGCAGCGGTGTATTGAACCTAAGGTCGTGGGTTCGAATCCCGCTAGTGACACTAGCATTTTAATTTCAACCAAAATCTTACATAAAAATATTAATTATATTTTAAATTGTAAAAATGTATTCTTTGTCTAAAAATTGTTCATATGTTAAACGTGTTATGCTATATATTAATATCAGACTTTTGTCGTTTTATCGCCCAAATATGCTAACATGTTCAAATGATCCATAGGTTATCGAATATGTTTGTAAGTTCTTATACAGGCTATTTTATAGCTTTAAATTCCTAATATACCGGGTTACTACAAATCAAAGCATAATCTAAAAATTCTTGGTATTATTAAGTAAAGATTGGCCGTACATTCGGATAGCCAGGTGGCACTAAACGCGTACCTCATTGGTGCTAATGTCTAGGACCATTTCGGACTGTAATCACGTCCCAGTCAGACATTGAGAAAGTTTAGGTACCAGGGTAGAGGGTACAAGGATATAGATAAATTGGCCAAGAAAAGTTCAATCCGAACACCTATCGTTCTTGGATTTTTTTGCCGTATATGAAATTGCCAAAACTGCACATCCATCCGTCAGTGGTTAAGAACAAAGTGTCCGGTTCAATGGGGATATATTCCCGAACGGATGCATGCCAAAAGGTTCATAAAAAGCTCTCATAGAAACATCAGAACTATAAGCTTAGCTGTTAGGGCTAGAAATGTAGTAGGACTGCTGACTACAGAAAGAAACAGTGAATGTAAAACATGTTATTCTGAGATTCATACATCATGAAGAGTTAAAGGCCTGAAGGAAACACAAGGGAGCTTTTAACAAAATTTTGAAATCTGGAAAAAAGCTTTAAGCTTAAGTCCTGAGGTATCTATAGCAGAAAGCAGCATGTACAGGTATGCCTGGAAAAAAGAAATAGTGGATCATGTCTTAAGTTATTTTGACATTCCTATATCATGAAGAGGTAAAGGCCTGAAGGAAACACAAAGGGGCCTTTAACAAAATTTTGAAATCTGGTAAAACGTACTATTTGACTAAATTTCGCACCATTAAATACTTATAAGATGAGGACCCATAATAAAATCGTCATCATCATATCATTGAAATCAATTCCCACGTCCGTAAGTTCTACTTGAAAGCTACAATAGGTTGTCAGCAGGTGTTCCAGTAATTATTTTGTGCATTGTACTGCAATTTTGTGATTTGTGAAGGAATCTCATTGCCAGAAGGGTCAGGATGGTGTGCAAGGTGATATCTCGGCATTCCAACAGTTAAATTGAATATTGGGATAAAGGGTTTAGGTATAGTCGCATACGATGTCAGGTTGGGTGGTCCGTAGTTCATATTTATGCAATCGTTTGTTTCCATTGGATACCAGCAAGAGTAAATGGATCCATTAAAATGATCAACTGTCGATCAATTCAACATAGTCCCAGCACGTGTTATGACATTTGGACATAATGCGTATACTGCAGTTTTGATGTGACTATCCGACTTACTTGTTGAACTGGCCATAAACTTAAATATCCGTCTATATCTTATACAATTTGTGATATAAAATGAAGAATGCCTTAAGTTTCTGATGATTGATGAATGTTTGTAGGTATTAAATTTGTTGCCCTCAATGAATTATCCCTCCATAAGATATGGCCTTAATTATGCGGTTGCCATGCACAACATGCAGAAAAATGCATCGGTGAAATAGAAACTTCTACGTTATCGCCGTTTCTCGTGGGTGTTTTGCAACGTCAGCCTCGGAAATAGACGCAAATCGTCGTAATGCGCGTCAAGGGTGAGGAACTCAGCTTTTTTTCCAAATCCGATCTAAGAATCCGGAAGAAAATGTCATTATTTACGGTTTGGCATCGGATCAATTAACCCATCGCGAAGGCGGTAAATCTCATTGGAAGTTCCAAACAAATTGTGCAATCGCCTGGCTTTTCAACTTCAAAAATAGGCTAAACTATTTAAATAGTTTTTAAAAACTTTTCATCAGAACAGTGCTTTACGGTTGAACTAATTTTTACGACTCGGCCTAATTTTCAGAGAACGGGGATGCCTCCGAAAGGAGATCAATAGGAACGGCGTAGAAATTGGATCGGCCGAAAGCCCCGATAAACTCAACTATATTGTGGCCTCTGCCCTGTTGTCTATTACACCAGATCCCTTCGAACCGGCTTAAAAATTCAATCAAAGCCTCCGCCGAAGTTCGAATTCCCCTTTTGATCAGAAATAAAACCGTCTGAATTAACAAATTAGCCAATTTAAAAAAAAATGGGCTACTCTTTTCCCAAATGATGCATTATTCGATTAATGTATGATGTTATGGAACAAGTTGTTAACTTTAAACCAATAGTCTCGGAGGTAAATTAAATAAAGCCCTTTACGGCCAATTTACAGTTCATATTAGATTGAACAAAACAACCTTAACTACAGTCATAAAAAAGCTGAGGTCTCTCGAGAATCGATATTTTTATTCTTACGACATGCAGTGTTAACGTGATTATCATGTTTAGAGGTCACATGTTTAGAAAAGCCAGCCAACACTGGCTCATAATATAACGGATTAAGTGATGAGGAGGCTTCGAGGCTAGGTTTAAAGCGATGGAGTGGGTTCTGAGGATGGGAAAGCGTATTTAAGACTTGATCAGAAGGGTTAGGATGAATAGAGCTCAGTGTGACTCTTTTGGAAGCAGGTCAGATCAGTTTGATGACCAAAGGAATGCCGAAGTCGTTGTACATAGCGAAGTTAGTGGCGGAGTTACGAGCTTGGACAATTTGATTAGTTTTAAATAGAAGGAGTTGGCTGGAACCCCCACCATTCCGTTTTACCAAAGTGGCCTCTTAAGACTTATTCGTGGACTTCACCCCAGTCTACTGTTCTAAATATGTTACTTCAGTTGAAAGTCGGTAGCTTGTCGGTGTGCAAAGATGGGAGGGGACACGACTGTTTTTTCAATGGAAATGCATACGGTGTACATTTTTCCTCATTTAGTCTTGTCCTCCACTGTTTGCACTAGTTTAGACAACTCACTAGTAGAGCTTGATAAAATCAAGGTGTTCTTCGATGTTCGAGGTTTCATGGATAGGATTTCGGTTTGAAAACAGAATAGCATGATCACTCTCATACCTTTTATTTTATAGTTTTGGGGTGTACAGGTACGTCAACAGTGTACAGGGTGGGACCAAGAATGTACCCTTGTTAGACACTCCTATTGGTCTGTATCTGATTATTCGTTGCCGCACTGAAGGAGCGGTGAATTAAAAAGAAGCAAAGATAACTTAATAAGAGGCGGGTGCCCTCGCTTATAATATTTATTAGGGCCGGGAGTCTCTCGAGGATACACACTTGGTCCAATTCTGTTTAACATACAAAGAGTGTTAACTTGATCCGAAAACATCATCTTAGTAGCTAAGAAGAGCTGTTACGATTGAATCAATTAATCGATAATATATAGGGGATCATCATCATCATGGACTATTTGCTTTGCCTACCTACAACAAAACATGCATGGGGTGAAACATCGGAGTTCCTCTATGATCGACACATGTGCCAGTTCTATTTTACTCGTCCAAGGCTAACAGAAATAAATTTTCTCTGTACTAACAATAAGACGAATTACGCCATTCCAAAAATGACGCATTCTTTTCATCTTTAATGTACAATATAAAAAGCAACATCCTTGCGACAAATTTCAGGATTGGTAACAAAACGGTAAAAAATTTATGTAAGTGAAAAAATTGTGTACTCTTAATAAAAATTTCTTTAATGAAATCGGACCAAAAATTGTGGTCATTGTCCAAAAATATTCCTCAAGCCTAACATTGTTTTTTAGACCGCTTATAAAAAAATACGAATTTATGCCCTGTGGCAGTTTACCGCCCCGCATATTTTAAATACAATTGGCCCTAGTATCGATCGTTGACGGACTCCGGCTGTTTTAGGTGTACCAATAAATTCTTTGGTTTTTTCCTTTGATTCAAATGCGAACTTTAAATGTTCTATTTTTACAGTTCTTCGTAATTTAAAAAAAAATCCCTTAGCTTCTGTGAAAACGTACTGGAATGTCTTCAGTCCAACACAAGAATTAATTCCACAGTTTATAAATTTTATTTACGGTTGCGAAATAGCCACTTTTTAAAGCTCGTAACTGTTCTGTGCCAATGGAATTCAACAGTAATTTTATAGCGTTCTCTGCTCAGTGACGATAATTTAGTGTGCTGCTGATATTAAACGGCCTGTAAACTTTTAATTCGAAGCGTCTTTATACTTTTAATGAGCTTGAGATTATTTTAGACCAAGGACATCGATGGAATAAACTTCGTGTAATTTATACGATCGCAATATGAAATAGAATCAAATGAATTCACTGATTTCGACCTCTATAAACACTTAAGCTTATTTATTATTAATTATCTCGCGCTTAAAACTTGATGTTTTATGTGTAGTTAATTGTAAAGTTACGATAAAGGACTTGTTAAAAAGAAATATTACGTCAACTGAAAATACATATTGAAATATACTAAGTTGTGTAAAATTTCCTTAAGAAAGACCTTTGCTCAAAGTTTCAAATTTGTTTTCAAATTAATTCTCATAACAAATAATCCCACTGTTGCACAATTGTGTATATAACTTAATTATGAAATGTTAATTATGTAACGTTGTATTTATTGAAAATCTAAAATGGAAGTTTTCTTTCTTTATTTCCTTTTACATTTTCTCTTTTTTCCAGGTTGCGTTGGAGGGTGACTCAATGGAACAATCCTATTTTAAGAGATTTTTCAAACACTCCTACATAATATGGCATCGACCCAACAGGAACAGCGAGAACCGGCGGACCGGAGAAATTACTCGATTTTTACTCTTGGTACATGTTTTCTTTATTAGATATCTTTCAATTGATTTATTAATGAACCAGTTACACACTACAAACCATTTTTGTTATAAGCAGCATGCAATTTATAAGCACCCTAGAGTGCTTAGAATGCATACATAGTATGCAGCATGTACTAACATGTCAATTTATCTGATTTTGGAATTATAAAATGAGAGAAATATTCTGTACAAAGACAATTTTTTGCCCTGTTCTTTTCTAATTCATTGTCTAAAAGACAGTCTTACTCTGAGAAGTACACCTCGGTTTTTTAAGCTGAAATAAATGGGGATTAGTCATGGTTGACGTGACGAGAGGTGGGGACGAGAACAACAAGAGATAAGAAGCAAGAAGGCTATCAATGCGATGGCTGAAAAGGTAAAAATTATGCTCAGAGGAATATCAAATTAAGAAAGGAGGGCTGATAGCCACGAATTAAAGCTCAAGCGGGCACAGATATAACACATAGGCAGATGTGCAAAAAGGCTGCAACAAATAATGAATTGGTGTGGGTCGCAATATTGCCCTACTTGCGTAGTGGGAGGAAGAATGATAAAAACGGTAAAGGGTAAAGAATGAAAGGTTTTCTTCCCAACCATAGCATTAAAAGAAAAAAGAAGTGAAATCATAGCTTCAAACCTAAACCTCACTAGCCAAGGGAAGCATCGAGCATACTTCGCACGTTTTGGCCGAATATATGACCTGACATGTTTCTTCGGATTTAAGCCTCAGACATGGCATCATGTTTTTCGTGTCCAATATTCGTTGGAGGTGTGAAAAAGGATGCAACTAATAATGAATTGGAATTGAGGGTCGCAACGTTACCCTACTTACGGCAGTGGGAAGAACAAGAATGATTAAAAACGATGAAGGGTAAAGAATGAAAGGTTTTCTTCCCAACCATAGCATTAAGAGCAAAAAGAAGTGAAAGCATAGCTTCGAAACTAAAAACTAAACCTCATTGGCCATGGGAAGCGTTGGGCATACACCGCATGGTTTGGTACCATGTATGACCTGATATGTCCCTGCGCATTGGAAGCATAGATCTGGAATTGAGTTATTCATTCATGTTTAGTACAGTTTAATTCATGTGGCACTGAGAATTAACATACCATTTATCACCTCATCTAAATAAAAGGAGAGGAAAAACAATAACGAAACTTTTAATCCATTCTTTGGCTGAAATCTATATTGATCTTGGGTCACAGTGTCACATAAAATGATTTGATCCGTTTGGCCTTGCCAGGTTTCGAAAAATTGAAACTTCCATCCGTCAGTTCTGCCTATCCTACGGAACGCGATCGTGCCTCACTTAAAAAGGCCGGCAAGGCTGAACTATTTTATACCCTTTCCCATCTATTCTAAGCGTTTACAGCCTTGCAGGCATCTCGGAGAAATTTGTGGGTATGTAGGCCTTAAAGGAGGCGGCAGTGGGAGCAGTTTCCGCCTTTATTTCCCTGCCGTTCGTAAACTTCCTGGAGAGAACATTTCTGTCAGTATATTTAGACTGTGATGGTTTCGAAAATTGACATTTCTCTTGTATATTTGAAAATGTAAGGGTTGTAAACTGGCTAATTATCAATAAAATATGTCGAACTTGGATAAAAACATGCCGTACACTAAAAATGCTTACACCTTATACTTCCATTATATTTCAAATAATAAATATTTTATTTCTAACATAAAAGTAACTCGCTGTCTAAAAAATATTATATAATATTTATACGCAAAATATATAAATATTATATTCGCAAGGGTATAGTAAATCTCTTGATTAGTATTTTTTTTAAAACGTTTGTCGCTAACTTTCTCCACTCGTCGAGAGGTTTTCCTCGTTTGGCACAGGCTTTTCTTGGAATCGGGGAATTTTCATCCCTTTATAACTTTCCCTTTGGTAAATAATCAAGAAGGGAAAAGCGGGAAAAACGAGGGCTCACCCCTTCACCTTTTCACTGACGTAACTCCGGCCCCGTTCCTAGAAAATCCACGCATGGGGATGGCCGAATCGATGAAAACTGTGACGCCAAGGGAATATAATTTGTCATCGTACTGTTTTTGAGTTTTCCTCTTTTTTTCTTCGAGAGAAAGGAAAGAAGGAAAATTGTACTCGCGTCGGTGTTTCGCTGAATATTGGCACAGACTTCAACTAAATTTTCTTCTTCTTTTCCTTATTTAGTCATATGCAGGGTGTCTTTTTTAGATGACTCAGCTGAATTTCTTTTGAACCAGTGATGCTAACAAAAATCAAAAATACATGTTTAATATTTTAGTCTAGTTTCAAATTTTTATTTTTTTTAAATTTTTTTTTTTAAATGGAAATTATACAGGGTAACTCAGACCCAGTCCTACTTCAAAATTTCAAATACGGCCATATACGTCCTGACAGATCATTTCAAAGGATTTTTTACGCTGAAAACAATTGTGTCATCGGGTTTTAAAATGGTTAAACAATGGCAAAGTTATGGCAATAAGTTTGAAAAAAACGCATTTAGTTTGTTTCCATTCCAATAATTTACTTCTAAGTAATCTAAAGTAAACATTAATTTCCTTTAATGTTTACATTCTGTTATTGTTTATCAAACTCGCATTATGAGAGCAAATCGTAATACATGGAAGTAAATAAATTTTACAATAGTGCCCAGGTATTTGACTTGAGTGGAAACTGGTATCCCTTCGTTGTGGATGTACAATGGAGGGCAAGACTGCTTTTTCAGCGTAAAAGTACACCGAGTGCATTTTTCTTCGTTCAGTCTTGTCCTCCATTTTTTACACCAGTCTTCGATAAGCTCAAGGTGTTCTTGGATGTTGGAGGTAGTTTGGACAGGATTCGAGTTACAGGATAGGATTGCGGTGTCGTCCGCATAGGTGGTGATAATAGTGTCAGGATGTGTTGGTAGGTCAGCAGTATAAATGATATATAGGATAGGACCAAGGATACTACCTTGCGGTATACCGGGACTATATCTCGACAGCAGACTGACGTGGAATCCCCACACAAGACTTAAAAAACAGCAACTTAATACAAGACTTGGACTACTACGAATACTTTTAAAACCGAAATCGACTTAGACAATTAAGACAAAACTAACACTATACAAGACTTTACTAAGACCAATATGGACATACGGAGTAGAACTGTGGGGCACTGCCAAGCCTTCCATATCCAGCGCATCCAGTCCTTCCAATCAAAAGTTCTTAGACAAATTGTCAAAGCACCTTATTATGTCACTAACCCCGCTATCCACAAAGACCTCAACATTCCTTTTGCCAACGAACTAATCCAGTCCAGATTCCAACCCTTCCATACCAACCTTTCGAACCATCCTAACCATACTGCTCGAGCCCTATCCACTCATTCCCATCCTGACAACCCACCACGTCAGCTCAACCGAAGATGGCCTCGGGACCTCCTTGATACCTAGTCATACACAATGAGTGCCAGCAATGGCTGGCTCCTCAAAGTATGTGTTCTACCGGTGCAGTGCTGGCATTAGTGCTAGTGTTGTGCTGTGTGATTTATCATTCACGTGTACATATTTATACAGTATACAATTCTGTATAGGTAACAAATAAATTTTTTGAAAAAACAATAGTGCCTGTTAGGGGCGTCGGTAACCGTAAAGGTTTAGGCGTTGACACGGCGTTCATCACTGTAAGGTTAAGGTCTCTACATACTTACAAATGGGCTTTTTTTCAAAAACACCGGCACCCGAGGGTTGATATAACCTCTGCTGTTGCGAACCCTCGTAGAAAAGAAAAAGTTTATTCGTGTTGCTCGCTAATATGAGGAGATACGGATCAGTTGCTGTTCCATCACGAAGAAAGCGACAGTGTAATTTCTACGAAGAACTGAATATTTTACTGTATGTTCGCGAGAAAAAAAACCGAATTCCTCCATTCGAATGTCATAAGGGTTTTAAGTTTTTCAAAAAATAAAATTAGAGATCTAGTCCGTACTTAGAATTTTAAGCCGTATCGCTGACATCTTGTCTAGGGACTTCGGGACTCTGATTATGATTGACGTCTAACGTTCCTTGCAGAAATGTCGATTTGGGAGGCTGAAGAAATTCTTCCATACATCCTATGGACTGATGAATACAAGTTCACTTCTAATAGCATTCTAAACAGTTAGAATTTTAGAACGTGGGCAGAGAAAAATCGAAGAATTTCGTACTCTTGTCATCATCAGGAGGTTCACAGTATCAAAGTTGGCGTGGTCTTGTCGGAAATAAATTCATTCGGCCTTACTTCTGTGAAAACAATTTAAATTGTGCTCAGATCCTCAATTTTTTGAGGGAAGTTTTACCAACACTCTTTGCTGATGCTCCTCAGCAAAAAAGACAACGAAGGATTCTCCAGTTTGAAGGATGGAACGCACACAATTCTTTGCAGGTAAGACATTTGAATCGTCACTTCCTTGGTAGGTGGATAGGACCTCATGGCCCGATCTGCTGGCCTCCTCGGTCAACCGATATAACTATACTTCACTATTTTCTGTAGGGCCATTTAAAGAAAACAGTCTATGCCAATCACAAACCAGCAACCTCAGTTGAACAACTGCGGCATAGAAAACGCTTGACAATTCATCTCCCCTGACTCTATCGCTCATTTTGTTGACCAAATTAAAATCCGATTGCACCATTGTTTACAGCGTAAAAATTCTTCCAAAATGATGTGTCAGTATGTACAGGATTTAAAATTTTGAAGTTGAACTCGGCTTAATGTACCCTGGATAATTTTTCTTAAAAAAAGGTAAAAATTTGAAACTTCACTAAATTTTATCTTGTTTTTATTCCTATTCAATGTGGAACAAACATTAACACGTATTTTAGAAAAAGGGTAAGATTCAATTAAAAAGAGGCTTAAAAGAAATTCTGAATCATTTGGGAGAAAGACTCCTTACTAATTCACAAGTGACTTTATGAAATAATGTAATGCACTTCCTCATAAGCCATTTAATTTGTCATTTATCATTTATCATGAGATATTTTATATTTATTCATACATTCTTTCCTACATTACAATTTCAGCCCCACCATTACCTGTTTTTGACCAATGTACGGTCATACCTCCATACATTTTTTCCTACTTCACAATTTCAGCCCCTTACAATACCTGTTCCTGTTGTTGACATATTCAAGGAAGTTCCCTCATATATTATTTCCTACTTCACAATCCAATCAGATGGT